TCTGTCTCTCTCTGTCTCGAAAATAAATAAACGTTAAAAAAAAACCAAATAAATAAAAAATAAAAATAAATGAAATAACAAATCGACATCTTAAAGCGGAATATGTACTTTCAGAGTCCAAAGACTCATATGGCTGAAATACACATCCACTCTTCTTCTTATGCCAGTGGAGACTTGGAGGGGCCCCACGAGAAACTATCTCTGCACGGGCAGGAGGGTCTCTGTGATACAGACACGGGGTCAAGTCCCAAATGGAAGGCTCATACCTGAAGCACGAGAGGCCCCTATCATCCGTGATCGGATCAGTCCCTCTCTCTTTTTGTTTCTTATTAATTTAATCTTTCCCCGAAAAATTTCCAGGTGGTGGTCTAGTTTTTCTTTCAAATCATCTGGAAAAAAAAAAAAATCCAACACTTGACAACATAGAAACTAGAACTACAGACAAGATAGCAATATATCACAATTTTGACGGATTGCTGAAAACCATGTTCTCCCACAGAAGTGCTAATGTTACAAATGTTATCCTATGTGAGGAAGGGAGAGACACGTGATTCAGCATTGAAATCAACCGTAAATATTCTTCTAGGTTCCTAGTGAAATACCTCTATTTTGATAAGTCACTGTTAAGAATTTAATAGAAAAAGCGTGAGTCTTGGCGCTTTGGAGCAATCTGACTTTCTCACTAACATGTCAGCTCTGGACATGCCTCTTACACGCTCTGGGCTCTGTGCTGACAGCTCGGAGCCTGGGGCCTGCTTCAGATTCTGTGTCTCCCTCTCTCTCTGCCCCTTCCCTGTTCATGCTCGGTCTCTCTGACTCTCAAAAATAAATAATAAACATAACAAAAAAATTTTAAGCCACAGTCTAGCAGAAGGTCTCCCGCCAACCCCCGTCCCTTGCTCAGGGCTTTGGGGACTTCTTGCTCAGCATGCGGCCAAATGTGCTGCCCGGTGCTACTGATGGGATAAGGACTCTGACCATCTCTACACATCCCCTCCTGTGCACAATAGTAGAAATAAAGAGTGGTTCTCGGAGAAATCACGTCATACATGGTAGTGCCTGGCCAACGTGTGAAATTCCTAAGCGTAGCTGACGTTGGCTTGAGTAATCTTCAGTTGGACAAAGTAGAGTCACTTCCCCAGGGGTCAGACTCCTGGAACATGCTCTTTCGTAGCCCTGCCTGTTTGCCTCCCTACTCTCTCTCCTTTTTTGCTTTCCCAGACCACAGGGGGTCAGATTCACAGATTAGGTTAACTCTTCTGTAGGAAACCTATCCAATACTGATATATTGCTTCCAAGGGAAATGGACGCCTACAGGGACTTACAGACTCCAAGCTTTTCACTAGTCTGGGCCCTCTTGGTTTGCCTCAGGTTTATAATTAAGCTGTAAAACGGATAACGAATCAGATTTTGTATTCATATCACGACTCTTTGAAACCAACGAGCAGAGGAGAGCATGCTCTTGACTGCAGTTGGTCTGATGAGAATTCTTTCGTGAGAAGGACTTAGGTCCTGTCTCTTCCCTGCATTAAGCCTCTGATAGCACTCCATTTCTCCAGAGAAAATTCAACCAGAGTCCCTCATGAGCGGCGTTGCCTTTTGGTGGCTCTGGCTGTATGTCCACACTCTCTCCCAATGCTATACTCATATGTAAACTACAGGAAGTACAGAACTATCCCAAACTCAGGATGTTACCTCTGGGCCTTGAAAACGCTATTTCCTCTGCCTAAAACACTTTCTCCGTCCTCTCCATCTAGGTACCTCCAACTCAGCCCTCAGACATGGGTTTAGATGTCACCTCTTCCTGAACAGCCTCCATGACCCCTGAAGACCAGGTTGGTGCTTCTATATTTACCTCATGGAAGCACTGATCGCCTGTGAGCCCAACACCGCGGGGCAGGGACCGGCTCTTACATCCCCACCGGTGAGCCAACGGCGCCTGCCTCCACACCCATCAAATGTAAAGTGAGTAATAAAAGAACCCAAGCGCCATCAGAGATCGCCTTCAGAGCACATGACATCGATGGATGGAGTTCTGTCTTACCAGAGTCGCTCATGTCGTCTACCAGAATAATTTCTTCAAGGAAGTGGCGTGGGGTGAGGTTTACGACACTGAACATGGTCCGGAACAAGGCGTTAAATTCCTCGTTGTGGAAGCAGATGACAACGCTGGCAGTAGGTAGGTTGGCTGGGTAATGTTTTTGAAAACACCTGCGAGGATAAATAAAGGGAAGAAAATGACTTGTGGTCTCACTGACGCAAAGCATTTACGGTTTTTCCTCTTTATTCCCGTAATGGATGATTACGATAATAAGGTGACTGTACATTTGAAAACACCAAAATTAAGGTACAAAAGCTTTTCTAACTTCTTATCTATTCTAATATTTTCTCTTAAAAAACTCTTTTTAACATTTATGTATTTATTTAACGTTTATTTATTTCTGCGAGACAGAGTGCAAGTGGGGGAGGGGCAGAGAGAGAGGGAGACACAGAACACGAAGCAGGCTCCAGGCTCTGAGCTGTCAGCACAGAGCCCGACATGGGGCTTGAACTCACAAACTTCGAGACCATGACCCGAGCCAAAGTCAGATGCCCAACCGACTGAGCCACCCAGGTGTCCCAATATTTATGTATTTATGAGAGAGAGACAGAGAGAGACAAGACAGAGGGAGACACAGAATCCGAAGCATCTCCAGGCTCCAAGCTGTCAGCATAGAGCCCCACGCAGGGCTCAAACTCACGAACTGCGAGATCATGACCTGAGCCAAAGGCAGACTCTCAACCGACTGAGCCACCCAAATGCCCCTAAGTCATCCCCCCCTTCTTCATGCCAGCAATAAGTGCTCTTCCCTGGACCATCTTAATTCAATTTGAATACAGTGTAAACGTGACTCATACGGGTATTTTGGTTTCTATTATTAAAGTGCATTAATACGCTGATTCACACTGAAAGGCACAAATCAACCACATTGCACTGTCTGCAAAGAAAATCTGGTGCCTCAGTTTGTTGCAACAAAGAAGTGCAGTGGATATAGCGTAATTGGATTTCTTCCAGGGATTTGACAAAAGCGTGTCATTATTTTCGTGCATAGGAGAGAAGAACAGAAGCTGAATTGTAATAATATTAGTTATTAGCTGTTGATTAGCGTTTGAATTGCTGCATCATGTGGTTGTATTTTGAAATATTTCGGTTGTAAATGGCAACCCCCCTGGTGCTAGTTTAAGCAAAAGAAAGGGGAGTACGTTGGAAGGGGACCCCCCATGCCCCACAGGACCTGGTGACAAGTGTACAGGCAAGAAGAATGACTGGAGCCAGAGGCTTGAAAGCCACTTGGACACTCTGTCCACTTCTGCTGTTGTCTTTCCAACTGGAAATAATAGTAACTATAACAAGACCAGCCTTCCTCATAGGTTGTGTGGGTTCAATGAGTTGCTATGTCAAATGCTCAGAACGGCACCTGGCAGACAGTAAGTATTACATCAAGCTCATTATAGGATTCTTATCCTCTGTCTGCAACCTGACTCGTTTGCACCTCTTTATTCCATGGGAGTGGGAATTGTGGCCAACATCAGCACCCAAGGAGAAACTGGTGAGACTTTCTCTCTGGCTCAAAATGCACAGTAAGGATTCATTGGCCCAGCGCAACTCAGGTGCCCGTTCCTGGGCTAACGGACTGTGGCCAGACAGGCAGTGGGTGAGAGAGAGTGGGGTGGGGGCTAATGGAAGGATAATACGAGGGATGTGATGGTCCAGGGGGAGCTCGTGCTACTTAGGCCCGTCTCTAACGTGACATTCAGTCCTGGGCATATCATTTGAAGAAAACTGTGGATAAATGGAAGATAGACCATGTGAGTGGAGGAGCCTGAGACTACGTCCCACCAGGACCCGTTAGGCCCCTGTGTGTATGAGTTTCTCCAAAATTAACTGATAAATGTTGCTGTGGTCTTTGCTGACTTAAACGTTTCTTACCTAAGCAGGCAGTTTTTCAGGGTAAAAGTAATTTGGACAAGACCTGAGTTTGGTCATCCTTGGTTAGCTGCTCTGTTCTTTGCTGGTCATATAGGTGACCAAGAGTCCGGTAGAAAGCAGGACTATTGTGCGTTGAATTGTGTCTCCCCCAAATTCATCTGTTGAAGTCCTCAGCCCCAGTTCCTCAGGATGTGCCCTTATTTGGAAATGGGGCTGTTGCAGAAGCAATGAGGAAGATGTCATTAAGGTGGACGTAAGTCCAATAAGACTGGCATCCTCGAAAAAAGGGAAAATTAGGGCACAGGGACAGACACAGAGTGCACTGGGTAGGGGGGAGATAGTTGGGTTACACCTTGTACACTAAGAAGAAAAGACTGTAGGACTGGGGGCGTGCCGACTGGCCCCTTTTGTGCTTTTTGATATTTGCCAGGTTTTCTGTAATTAAAATTTAAAAGAAAGCTACCCAAGTTATTAACTACAAAAGGATAAATAGTAATTTTGCAGTGCAGAAATCTGACACCTTCTGTTTTGGTCAAGTGATCAAAAGTATCTTCACCCCCAGTCACCTCATTAGTAATGGGACAAATGGACATCAAGTGCCTCCTAATATGATGCTCGAGGAGGACATAACATCACTTCTATGGGATTCCTACCAAAAAGCATGACCAGGATTTGATCACAAGGAAACATCAAACTCCAACTGAGGAACATTCTAGAAAAAAAACTGGTTAGCTCTCTTAAAAATGTTATAGTCATGAAAGATAAAGACTTGGGAACAGTTTCAGATGAAAGAAAACCAAGGGCATGGGAATGCCGCAAGTCATCCTGGGTTGGACATTTCCAGAAAAAGGACACTAGTGGGGCAGCTGTAAATATTTCAGTTGTGTCTGTAGAAGATATTAACATTTGGGGAATCTAAGAAAAGGCTATACAGGAATTATTTGAGAGATTTTTTTCAACCATTTTGTAGGTCTGAAATTATTTCCAAACTGAAAAGTGCAAAGACAAAAATTACATCAGAAGACCAAACAACATAAAAATGGTCTCTTCAAAGATCTGTATCAAATACTTCAATAGCTAGTGAAAATAATCATACGAACTTTAAGGCAAAGCTGAAATGGAAATCCCATTTAGTGAAATAACAAGATTAGTACAAGAATGGCTGAAAACCGAATTTCCTGTTAAAGAAGTTAATATTCTGAATACGAAAACTTCCAAGTTCACTTCTCTCTTTGGACAATCTCTCTCTCTAGGGGGTCTGGGTGGCTCGGTCGGTTGAGCGTCCGACTCTTGATTTCAGCTCAGGTCATGACTTCGTGGTTTGTGAGATCGAGCCCCGCATCAGGCTCTGGGCTGACAGTGTAGCATCTGCTTGGGATTCTCTCTCTCTCCCTCTCTCTCTGCCCCTCCCCTGCTCTCTCTCTGTCAAAGTAAATAAGTAAACATTAAAAAATTAAAAAGAAAGAAAAAGAAATATCCCTTTGTCTAAATGTCCTCATTGGTAATTTAGTAAAAATATCTTGGGGGAGATGCAATTCTTATAAATACCTAAGATACATTTGATGCAAATGGGGAAGGTATTCTCAACTCCAGAATTTTGAAACTATCTACTCCAAGTCCCCAAATCAGGAACCTATATTACAAGACTGCTAATATGCCAAAATTAAAATCTGGTTAGTAACTGTTTATTTAAAAACTTAAAACATATTCATGTTTAGACTTGTACACTGAAAGCTAGAAGACATTAATAAAAGAAATTAAAGAAGACACAAATAAGTGGAAGGGTGTTTTGCGCTCAGGGGTTAAAAGAATTTGACACTGATGGGGGCCTGGGTGGCTCAGTCGGTTAAGCACCCGACTTCGGCTCAGGTCACGATCTCACAGTTCGTGAGGTTAAGCCCCACGTCAGGCTCTGTGCTGACAGCTCAGAGCCTGGAGCTTGCTTTGGACTCTGTGTCTCCCTCTCTCTGTGCCCCTCCCCCATTGTGCTCTGTCTCTTTCTGTCTCTCAGAAATAAGTAAACATTAAAAAAATTAAAAAAAAAAAAAGAATTTGACACCATGAAGATGTCCTTATACCAAAGAAATCTACAGATTCAATGCAATCCATATCACAATTCCAATGGCATTTTTCATAGAAATAAAATAAAGAATCCTCAAATTCATATAAACTACAGAAGACGCTGAAGAGGCAAAACAATTTGGAGAAACAAGAACACAGCTGGAGGCATCACATGCTCTGACTTCAAACTCTGTTGCAAAGCTGTAGTAATGAAAACAGTTTGGCATTGGCATAAAAAGAGACTCATGGATCAATGGAACAGAGTAGAGTGCTCAGAAAGAAAATAAAATCATCCATTTATGATTAATCAATTAAGAAAAAAAGCCAAGAATACACAACGGGGAAAGGACAGACTTTTCAATGTTGCTAGCCACATGCAAAAGAATGAAACTGGACCACTCTCTTAACACCATACACAAAAAATTAACTTGAAATAGATTAAAGACTTGAAGGTAAGACCCAAAGCCATAAAGGTCCTAGAAGGAGACAGAGGTAGTAGTAAGTTTCTTGACATCAATCTTGGGGATGATGTTTTGGATCTGGCTCCAAAAACAAAGACAACAAAAGTATAAACCTGTACTGAATGGGAGAAAATCATACACGCGATAAGGGATTAACATCTAAAATATACAAAGAATTCGTAAAACTCGATACCAAACAAACAATTCAATTAAAAAATGGGCAGGAAATCTGGGGTGCCTGGGTGGCTCAGTTGGTTGAGTGACCGACTTCGGC